TGTTAGAACAACAGACTGCAATTGTAGCTATCCTACTTGAAAAAGATATACACTCTAGAGATAAAGACATAAACAATTTTAGTCCACATTATTACCAAATTTTAGAAGATATGACACAAGGTTATGATGATTCACAAAAACATCAAAATAGCAATAACAGAAGACTAATGGGTCCTCAGCACTAGACCCCGGCTACAAAATTGTCTTTTTTTGACTGAGGGTGACAGACAAAGTGTTTTATGACCTAATTGTTTTGAACGGCAGGGGACATCTTATTGTCTGGAGGCTCCGTGCGGGAGGGGGGGGGGGGGAGTGTCCATCAAATGAGCACAAAACCAGACCCATCTTTTCTAGAGTAAAATTTTGTGTAGAATAATCAATAGTTGACGCCCTTAGGCTATAAGGAATACATATGCCAAGTATCAAGTTGATTCATTCAGAATTGCGGCCTGTAAACGATAAACACAAAATTTTGGCTTGGCTCTGTCCCTGGGGGTCGGAACATGCAGATGTCGTCTTTAGGCTTTAAGGAATACATATCCCAAGTTCAAAGACGATCCATTAAGAATCGTGGCCTGTAGGCAACACACAGAGACACAAATAAAAAATAAAGAATAGGTAGCAAAGTTTCAAAAATAATAGAGGTCAGCGTCAGGGTATAAGGAATAAGCATAAAACGTTTTCAAGACGATCGATTAAGCATTGCGGACTGTAAGTGACACACAAGAAAATGGGCGTGGCTCTGCCCCTGGGGGTTGGACATTCACCACAAACAATAGGGATGTTCCTTAGGATAGAAGGAATAAGTATGCAAAATTTCAAGGTGATACGTTGAGAAATGCGGTCTGTAGATGACAAAGAAGTAAATGCAAGAAATGGGCGTGACTCTGCCACTGGGTGTCGGGCATGCAACAAAAACAATAGTGATCATCCTTAGGGTATGAGGAATTCGTATGAAAATTTTACAAGATGATCGATTACGAATTGTGACCTGTAGGCGACACACAAAAAGAAAATGGGCGTGGCTCTGTCCCTGGGGGTTGGACATCACCCCAAATGATAGGGGTGTTCCTTAGGGTACAAAGAATAAGTATGCAAAGATTCAAGATAATACGTTAAGAAATGTGGTCTGTAGACGACAAACAAACAAATACAAGAAATGGGCGTGGCTCTGCCCCAGGGGGTCCGCCATGCACCAAAATCAATAGGGATCATCCTGGGGGTATAAGTATGTAAAGTTGCAAGATGATCACATAAGAATTGTGGCCTGTAGGCGACACAAAGACACACACACACACCCACACACACACACACCGACAGGAGCGACGGCAATATACGTCCACATTATGAATGTGGACGTATAAAACGAACTTTAACAAAAAATGTGGACGTATAAAAGGAACTTAAAAAAAAGAATAACTCGAATATGTCTCAGTCATGGCTCAGTGATGGAGCACTATAGTGAAAGTTAACTAGTTATATTGATCTTTGAAGTAAACTGTTAATTTGTTGCATTGCGAATTAACTTTAATTCATATTACCAGAAACCGTAATTGCAATTTTATTTTCAGATTTTAGTGACTGTAATAAAAAATACTAATTATCCATTTATCCTGTTGTTGTCTTGGTAAATATAGACCTGGTTATGAATTGCGATTCGTATTGTATCGTAGCACCTGAATCGCAATACATATCGTATCGTGACTGCAGTCGCCATGACCAGCACTATATTTGCTCTCTCTTACACTTGTCTACGATATCACCTTAGGTGGAAGTGGACGTAAAACTCCAGAAACGAACGAACGAACTCTCTTACACATAAGTTATGTAATAAGTAACCAGATTGGCGATTGTTACCAGGTTGTAATGTACTTAAAATCCCTTGCTCAATATACGAAAAGGAAGTTCCTAGAGTCCGAATCATTAATGAAGCACGAAAGTGATACCTCTTAGCACCATTTCTCTTAAATATATTTGTTGAAGACATAGATGGGGGTTTCCTGGACCAGCTAACACGCCTACCAGTTGCCCGGACCAGCCCTAAAATCCCATAGACCAAGCATTAAAATATTCTGATCGCTGTTCGAAAAAGATGATTTACTGGCATACAACATGGTTATGGTGTTTGGAACTTATTATACATTTGAAATTTGAAATGGGGTTTAACGTCCTACTGTTCTGCTCCGACCTGGACTAATGAAGACGGGCATACGCCATACAGTGTGCCATGAGGGAAATTTTGTCTGGACAGCGGCACTACGGCCTACTCTTATATCGAATTCCAGCTGTCAAGGGATATTTTACGTGCACGCCAATGTGTACATGAGACCTCGGTTTTTCGTCCCATCCGAACGACTAGACAGCTGTCCTTATCGGGCCTTATACATGTATTTGTAATATTTATAATACCAGAGTACACGACGAAACAAGTGGGATGCTCTATTATCAGCCTGGAACGTTCCGTATTGACAAAATTGCAGTTGAGTGGCGCGGAATTGAATTATGTCAGTTCTGTCAGTCCCGAAAACGTAGGTGTTGTGAGTAGAATTATGGCGTAATCAAACATAACTGATATGTTTCAGCTGTCGAGATATTTTCTTATGCAGTGAACGCATGCGTTGTAGCCTGAAATCCCCCATTTTAACTCGATGGTCAATATTTGAGGGATATAGAGAATTCGATTCCGGAACGTTCAATCTAGTAGTCCCTTGGTTTAAAGTTTCATCCATACCCGGTACTTTGATTAATATATGTTCAGATTATTTATTGATTTTAGTCTAAATGTCGGATTACTGTTTTGCTAAAAGAACACAAAAGCTGTGTTTTTTATTTTGAATTGGGTTGATTTGACGCTTATGCCCATGGGCGATGAGACAAGCTATATAGGATTAAAGTAGCCATGTCTCTAACACAATATCATCCAAAGTCTTCAACATTGAAAACCCGAATTATTTGTCGATTTAAATCAACATTTAAGACTTAATAAACAGTTTACAATCGGTACACGAATCGTGTACCCTAATGCTTTCCAGCGCAATTTGTAACAAGGCACTCGAAGAACGAGACTAGACATATTTCACAAGACCATGTCAAACGTTGACGCCATATTCTTAGACTGGAATAACCAGACGCTAGAGACGCTATTACATTATTATATGCCTTGCGACCCATTTGTGTCAATTTCTAGGTCTCAAATATTAGCGATCTAGCTCCTTTAAATTTTAATCATTCAAGATCACGTGCAGACCACTTTGCTAACCAGTTTTAATTTAACTTCTGACTCTTGAACCAAAAATCAGATTAAGCTCAACATTGCCCTTTCCCATCAGAATCCAAAGTCTATTTTGATAAAGTTTGACAAGAAACAATGTTTGACGGATCATTCAGAGAATTACTACATTGGTTAATTGAAATTTAATGGGGAATAACGTCCTACTGTTCTGCACCAACCGGGATAATGAAGAAGGGCATAAGCTATAAAGTACCCCCTCTTCGTCGAATGAAAACCGCCACGGGTTCTTTTACGTGCACGCGAACGTATACAAAGAACCCTGTTCCTTGCAAGACTTCTGTTCTGCACCACTGACATTGGGAAACCACACTAAAAAGTCTCGTGGCAAATTCCCAACACCGTGATCGAACCCGGTACTTCCCGGTTAATGGAACAGCACCCTACTCACTCAGCCACGATAGCCCCCCCCCCCCTTTCTATTTTGCATTAGCTACAGTGCCAGCAGCAAAAGGAACCCGAAAATATGGTTTAGCACTAGAGAGGACCACGTAGGTTACGATTTCCCTACTGACCAAACTGTTGCAATAACTGCTGAAAGACTGGAAAATCAATAATCCACGCGAGCTATTTTGAAAAAAGAGGGGAAATCACATAGCTAAGGAGAAAGTAAAATCGGTGGGTGACAAACAAAATCCCTAGCTCGACTTCACTTCTTTGACAAACTTAAACCATATACTCAAGCGACAAATCGTTATTATGGTGCTCGTATATCCTAATAGATTATTTCGTCTGTTCGACATCCCACACAATGTTGACACGCTAGTTACACTATCTCTTTAAAATAATACTTCGCAACTTATTTTTTCTTATCAAATACTCCTACGTGGGAAAAAATGAACGTTTTTTTTTAATTCCGATTCCTATTTTCATGCAAACTTTGTCTTGGGACTTCATTTGTTTTGTCAAACATAAAAGAAAAGATGTATTACATTAGCTAAATAGACGCTGTTATAATACAATTTATAAACTATAATTATATTACTATAGATGTCACGTCAGTACAGTCTTCAATACCAGTTGAAACAGAAGTTTGTTTAATATGCAAGTCATAGTGTTATATATATATATATATATATATATATATATATATATATATATATATATGTGTGTGTGTGTGTGTGGGTGTGTGTGTGTGTTAGCATATGTTGATAATCTAATTAGTGGATATACATGTATGCTAATGTAAGTGACGAAAACTGTTCTTTATCAGCCATTAAAGGGGCATTATGGGAGATTGGGTAAATAATTGACAGTTCTCTCTATGAAAGTTAAAAATAGATAATGTAAATAGAATATGCTGAACATTTCAGTCAGTTTGCTCCCCTCTCAACCGAGATATTAGCTTTTGAATTTAAGGCTAGCCTCGATCATCATTACTAAAGTCGGTACGATAAAAACAAAGCGGCGATTGTCCAGTTTTATTTTTCAAAAAATGTATTCCAATCCGCTAAATATCGAAGGCTAGCGATGGCATCGAGAGTTGATTATCGTCTGGATACGTTAATTAATGTCTAATTAATAGGTTAGATAACATTTCAGGCCTATAGAAAGACCTGCAGTATTCAGATTTATCTCTTGCATAATGTATGTTTAATTAAGAAATCACGCGCATCAATATGGATGCTCAATCAATAGAAATAGTCTTGAAGGAGTGGCGACACCTAATAAGGTAATAATCACGTGACTTCTGCTAATCGATGATCCATCGATGTAGTTTTGAACGACTATAAAATAGGCTATTGTGGGAATAAAATTCTACGGTGACAAGTTTTATTCAGGAGACAAGTCTGTCAAGGATCCACACACACACGCGACAACCAAACCAACCAGACTTCACCCGAACTTTTTATAACAGTTGTTCAACAAGATTGTAACTCACCATGGACAGTTTGATATTCATGGTTACTGCCTTGGTGTTGATTTCATCGGTTTATGGGTATGTTACTTTAGTTATTAAATTATTCTTAATGTTTGATATTTATTTTCTTATATGACAATGTTCACGAAACGAGAATAAACAACGAAATTAATTCTATTATGTTAAACATAGTACATATTAATTCAGCAACTCTAACGTAAAGTTACGGTTATCACACATTTTTCGGATTTTAAAATTTAACAATTCATCGCTTACTATAAAAACAGAGTTTGGCCACTTAAATTGTATTTGACTACATTGACAAACGTTTATTTGATATTTCCTGAGCACATCGAATGCGGAAAACAAATATCTTGATACTTTGAAGAAAGTTCTTTTTGCCAAGCATTTACCCATAATGTTCCAACGTATCAAAAGTGTTTGTAAAATGACCTTTTCAGTTTTAATGATAATATAATGTAATTGCGGTAGTGAAGTTAAATCAAGTGATTTATTCTAATACTTTAAAAGAATGTTCTTTTTGTCACATGATTAACCTTAATGTTCCCAAACACAAAAAGTATTTACCGTTTTGCTAATGAGTTTACGGAAGTGGAATCCCTTCCTCTACGCACACTATACGGAAATTTATTAATATATGTGTTGTCAGCAGCTAAATGCATTTAACGAGTTACCCTTGAATTTGTCATGTTCATTCACAATCATTGAATTTGTCATGTTCATTCACAATCAATCAATCAAGCCGTGTTAAATTCAGAAACGTGCTGGAAATTACCCGGAAAACTTTGTTACGTTAGTAACCATTTTATTACGTCGTACTATCTGAACTTTATAAAACCTATAGAGGGTTTCACAACCTGTCACACAGATACAAGACTTAAATAGTTTGAATCCGATTAACCATTGGTTCATTTATTACCATGGCTTTTACAAAAATGTCTAAAAGGTTCTTAAATTTTCTTTATTGACCAGATTTGTAATATGCGGTCCAGGAAAACGAATCGATAGAAATTAAGCCTTTTCCTGCAAGTCATATTCTGTTTTGATAAAGAAGGGTAATAATATGAATAAACGCCAGAGATTAATATAAATGTCATTCCGAGTAAAAGGCGTGATGAGGAAAATGCCGTTCGCTCAGTTTTTAAACGTCGAAACAAAATGTTAGCAAACACCTCTTTTCAGTTTGCTTTGAACACAGCCAATGAGGTCCCAAGCTCCATTTTGTTTATTTTTTTTTAAAAAGTACGTCAATTAAATTTGAGACGATTAAATGCAAACAAAAGTGTGTTTTATACACATATTTCAATAAAGTGTGAAAAGAGTGACGTGCATCAGCGAAAGATTGCATGTTTTGAGCAAATCCAATAACAATCCGTTTGTCGCATTTAAAGCATGGCAGGTGTCATTAACAGATAATATTATTTTTTGAAAAAAAAATATAAGAATATGACGAACATAAAAAAGAGATGATATTGATTTAGTCTTGAAATTTATATCACATATCCTAACCGATCAGCTAGAGGAAATAAAACAGGTGGACTATCCACAGCACAGGTTAATACTCCTTGGGTGCGATTTTAAAGTATCGTGGAGTTAATATGAAGGGCCATGACTAAAGTATATACTTCTAGCAGCACTCATAAAAGAAATATATTTTTGCACCGCTGGGAGAAAGATAGGCCAAACACACAGGTTTTTCGTGTGATGGCCAAAATGTGAGCTGTCACTGTGAATGCCCCTGTCATCTAAATTGGCTTCGATGAGATTCGAACCCCGCCGATTGAAAGTGTAACAGCAACATGAAAGTGGGGTCCAGTATAATAATTTATCAGGAAGGGTTGTTGGCGTCCACGTTCAATATTTTTTGTCATCTTATAAACGACGTGTAAGGGCGCTGACAGTCCATCCGTTATTAATGTTCAACCCAAGGTGAAGTTATCCCAATTTAGCTAGCAATGAATTCGCTGGTGGAGTTAGGACTCATGAATTTTAAGTATTAGAATAAAGCCTGGTAAAAACGGCAATCAAAATTGATATATCCCAAGGGAATCTGAATATGAAACTTTATTGGAAATCGCATATTGTGAGCCTTTGACGACATGAAAGTTGGTTTGTCTATACATTTATGATTAATATGAATTCATAAAACACTAACCGGTCTAAATTGACAGAATTATGATAACTCAATTGGTTCTACATACAGCTATCGAAAGGATAATAGAGAATGTAATATTTTTTATTGTTATTTTATTATAGGAAATTTCTTGAAAATTATTGCCTTGCGGCAAGCATCCGATTCATTTGAGTTGATCGAATGCCCGGCATAGGTTTTTTTCCGGCGTTAATTTTGAAAATAAACGAAATGACAACGTTTCTCTGTAAACGTCCTGTGGCAATGAAGAGAAGCGACAAATTGCATTAGTGACAGTTCACCAATACATCGTGTCATTTTAACTACTTTAAATCATTTCAAATAACAAACACTGTCTAATGGCCTTATTCTTTCAATGGACATTAAAACTACAGGAAATATTGCATCACAGCTTTTACTTTGAAAGGATATTTTATAGTTTTATTTCTAAACTATCTTGTCCTAAAAAAAATGAGCGATACCGTATACGTTTTTTTATGAAGCCCCATTGAGCAGGGCATTGAAGCTGTGTTTCAGGTTGTCTATAAATTCATCATTTATTTACATTACAACGCCTTCTTACATGGTTTCTTTAAAATACTTTTTATACCGTGTACGGAAAAAGTACATTTTTAAGGCCAATGCATTCAGTATAATTGTTAATACAAAAAACTAAGACGCGGATATTTCAAATATTTTCTTTTCTGTATTACAATCTCTTAGCTAATATAAGCAACGGTATTGGCAGCATTCACGTGGATTTCTTTTTCAACATGTCTAATCTAATGGATTTATTAAGCTGAAATAAGTAAAGGTTCTTTCTGTTCACTTTGTATCCGCGTAATTGTAACTGACACATTTCATTTGCTCAGACAGTGATTATCTCTGAAATTAGAACTAACTATTCTCATAAATCTTTCGTGGGATTGGGTATAATCTACAGAATAGGAAATCACGTATTGCATATAGCTCATTAGATCCCCGAAGAACTGTGTTACGAACATCTGTATTTATCGGTGGGCGGGGGGGGGGGGACTAATTAGTGATATGTATTATATACAAATGATTAACAACATCGATTTAGCAGTCTGAAAACTACACATATTCTCTATCAGTAGGTATTATATAGGGCGGTAAGAAACACTCTTGGAAGAAAGGCGTGATCAAAGTCCACGATCGCATATTTGTGTGGTGTTTCTTAATGCAGTGTGATTCGATTTGGTCTAACTGAAATTTACGATAAATGGAGTTAGGACTTTGTGGTTTACAAAATCTTATGAATTTGTCAGGCACAAGGAGATAGAACTTTATGCCTCAAGAATCTCCTAAAATTCTGATAAAATATCACGCCTTTGTGGGACGAAAACGGAAGCAAAAAGGCGAAATGGGAGTCAGTCATCTATTAGCGGTACTCGGAGCTAAACGCACAGCCTTTGTAGTAAAAATGTCTGGCATGAACTAATTTCATCCTATCTGGAATTTCGAAAGCAACAAGTAGTCTTAGGGGCATGTCATTCAACTGTTACTGATGTGAAATGTGGGATCCCACAGGGATCCAATATTGGTCCATTACTTTTCTTGATTTTTATAAACGATCTCCCACTTCATGTCAGTAAATGCCATACTGATCTTTTTGCTGATGACAGTACCCTTCACTTCTCTAGCAACAATCTAATATTGGTCCATTACTTTTCTTGATTTTTATAAACGATCTCCCACTTCATGTCAGTAAATGCCATACTGATCTTTTTGCTGATGACAGTACCCTTCACTTCTCTAGCAACAATCTAGCTAATATAGAGATTGCCCTTCAAGAGGATTTACTAAATGTATTTAATTGGTGTAATGATAATGGTAAGGTAATGAATGCTAAAAAGACCAAAGCCATGCTAATCGCTTCAAAACACCAAACAAGCACAAACTGCTTATCACTAAAAGTTAATGGAGAATCATTAGAAAATGTATCTGAAGCAGTGTTATTAGGACTTACTGTTGACCAAAATTTAGATTGGAATCTCCAAATTAACAAAATTTCCAAAATCATATCCTCCAAAATCTACCTCCTGACAAAGTTAAAACCTTATTTACCACACCATCTTAGAATTTTATATTTCAACGGCTATATTTTACCATACTTAGATTACTGTTTCACAGTTTGGGGTAATGCCAATGAAGGTAAACTAGAGGTCTTGTATAAACTTCAAAAGCGTGCGGCAAGGAGCATCTTGGATGAAAAACCTGATTCACATTCGGCACCTTTGTTTGAGTCTCTAAATTGGCTTACAATCTACCAACGCATTCAATATAACCAAGGAATGCTCACCTTCAAAATTCTAAGACAAATTGCCATCATATTTATATAACACATTCTGTGAAAATTCTAAATTGACCGAAACTACCATGATATTGAGATCAGAAAGTCAACTTAAATTAGCAATTCCAAAAAGTAAGAAAAAGGCGATGACAAGAACATTCCAATACACCGCCTGTGTATTCTGGAATTCACTAACTCAAACTGTGAAACACGCGTCTTCAAGTTTTATCTTCAGAAAGGAGTTAGTAAAACACGTTAAATCTTTGAATCCTTGTTAATTACTGTTGTCCTCTTAATGTATGTTTGTTTGCCCTTTTTTTCTTTCTTTATTGTTTGTTTGTTTGATATTTCTTTATTATAAGCTTATATAATATGATATATATGCACTTTGTAAATATTATTACTGTGTAGTTGCTAGTTTTATAGAGTAGGAGGGACATGTTGAAAATTAGAACTCATGTACTAAATATGTTCCCTCAGAAAATAAAGTCATTATTATATTATTATTATTCTAATGGAAATAGTCTGTGCAGAGAACTCTCGACGTCTGCGTCGAACGAGTTAACGTTACATAAAGCATGCAGGCAATGCAAATTGGACCTTGGTGTCAAC